ACGCGTACACCTGGGACCCAACCACGGGGCCGCTGTCGCTGCTGCCGCCCGAGAGGGGCTTTGAGCCTGGGCCCCTGGGGACTGCGGGCGCGCCTCGCGCGCACTCACCGTAGGAGGACTGCAGGGGGCAAAGGCGCTTCCGACGAAGTTGAGAGCGGTGACCGCTTCCTTCCCAAGCCCACTCCTCAAGCAGCAGCGTACGCGGGGACTGCGGTGGCTGCAGTGGTGGTGGCGGCGGCAGCTACTCCGGCTCCGGAATCAGCGGCGGCGGCGGTGGCGGCGGCGGCAGCTCCACTTCCGCTCTGACCACCACTTCCGCTCCAACCCAAGTCCCGCCCCGCCCTGCGCCGTCTTCTCATTGGGCAAGCGAAGCACGGGGTTGCCCGAGCCGCCCGAAAGGGGCACTGACGGAAGGGAGGAAAAAGAAGAGCCGCGGACAGGGCTGCAACTTGCGGGGGAGGGCGCAAGGCCTGGCGTAGGAGCTAGGTGGAAGCGGGCAGAGGGGAAGGATGTAGGGCGGGAGCAGCGAGAAGAGGAGGTGGAAGGGAAGGGGCGGAGGTGGGGTGGTAGTCAAAAAATTGGTTGTGTGGGGGCAAGGCGAACTGGGGAATTTGGGGGTGAGAATTGTCTACTAGTTAGGTTGGGAACTTGACAAGGCCCGGAGATTCCAAGGGTCTTCCGTCCTTACCCCAACCTAAAAGTGATCTTAACGAGGTTGCAGGGTGAAGTCAGTCCCATTTACAGTGCAGAAATGGCTCATCCCTGCATTTTCGTTCAACCAATCTTTTTCAATCCTTCAGGTAACTTAATAGTCCCCTTCAGTGGTAGCGAACCTGTAGCACATGTGCAACAGCGGCCTGTTTATTACTGAAATCTCTTGAGGTTCACCATCACTGAATACCTCAAGGAACCACATATAAACCCCAGTAATCCAAACAGCAAAGGTTTAAAAAAACAAAACACAACTGTACACTTTGTCCTCATTTGACAATTACCTCTCTGCAAAGAGAAGCTTCAGGGAAAGAAACAGGCTTCCATGGCTCCCCAGTCCCATGACTGCTCTCATCATTACCAACATTTTATACGTCAAAGCAGTTGACTTTTAAACCTAGTCCTTTAAAATGTCTCTACCCTCGCTCCCTCACATTGTTTCGTTCTTCCTACAAATATTGAGCAAGCTTTCTGTTTAGTGCTGGAGACACAGCAAGGTAGGAAGGAGCCCTGCTAGCTTAGGGTGTACAGTTTGGTATGAGAAAGTCCAAAGGAAGTAGGCCTTTGTCATCTCCCCTTTTCCCTTACTCAACGATAGACCTCTGATTCACTACTCTGCTCCCAACCCTGCCCCTGTCAACTGCCAAGTGATCTTTCTGTCATGCTAGCCATATCATACCACTTGGCTTAAATCTTTTGATATTCCTTCAGATTCAGTAGCTCTTTGAAAATATCAGCATTCTCCAGAAGCCTCCTTAACCCTTAAGCCATTACCTGCTACTTTCCCACATCATAAATATCCAGTTCATTTGCATAACCCCTTTTACACCCAAAGTACCATTCTAGTAGTTCCAAACAGCTTGAGTTAATTACCAGCATTAAAAGTCACATTTTTCTGTAGAGAGAAATCTGCATCTCTGCCTTCCTTATGGCAAAACTGGCTGAGGCCTACCAAATGACTGCTTACTCTAGATTGGGCATGACCTTTCCAAAGTGTCAGGTCCTTTCCTAACCTGAGTCTGCCTCCTCATTTGTGTTATCTGTTGTCCTGACACTTGTGCCGGAGAACCATGGAATATGACACATGGTCTGAACTGAATACTACACTGCTTTTTAATTTGAATGGTTTCCTAGTCCAAAAATCCAGCTGTGACAGACCAAAGACCAGTAATCCAGAGACTGCTTGGATTGCAGTAAAGTTGAAGTGACACAACTCAGTTTTATGTCCTCATCTAGAAAAATAGCCTTGTGAGTCAGAAGGCTCAATGATTATGCAAGTTACATCATCGATGCATTGAATGAACAGAAATGCCTTTGTCCGGCCTCTCTAGGTGCCTGCTAACCAATTGCAAGGGTTAGCTCCTTTCACCATCTCTGTGTTCTGGACTAATGATAACTATAACTGACAGTGACACAAAGATGTTAAAATATGCTATGGTAGATGCAACCATAGGATGAATCGTCATATATGCAGGGTATTACAGGAGCTTGGGAAAAGTTTACCCATCTCAACAGGAGAGACAAGAGTAAGAAGAAATTCCCGGGGCCAAGAATCTAGCTCAGTGGTTCTGCCACCTGCCTCACAAGTGCCAGGTCCTCCCGGAGGAGGAGGAGGAGGGGGAGGAGGAGGCATGGCAGAAGGGTATCGGGAGAAACAGTTCATGGTGGACAGAGCATAACAAAAGCAGCAAGGTACCTTAAAAGCCACCTCTGAAAAAGCCCCACCTATGACCACATGAGGCTTTAGAAGAACATCTAACCACTGTCATAACGAGGGCCTTGCTAAATTACCCATATTGCCACAAACTTGCCATTCTCCTGCTTCAGTTTCCAAGTACCTGGGATTATAGGTGTGTCCAGATAGTACAGAGTTCCTTATTCGCCTCTCCCTAACATATTGTATTCTTGTAGTACACTTCTGTAGGTTTTGACAAATTTGGGATGTGATATGGTCAAAAAATACAGTGAGTGCTGCTGCCCAGAGCCATCCAACAGAAAGCGGAATCTTCAGTATGAGAAGTGGCACGTGGAACCTTAGTGGTTGACAAGTTTCAACTTATTCAATGTAGTCGGTTGTGAGCTAAAATTAAGAGAGTATGTTTTATTTTATTTATTTATTTATTTGTTACTGGGGATCAAACTTGAGTCCTCGCGCTTGTGAAGCAGGCAGTGGAAACACTGAACTAAATCCCCGGGCCATGACAGTATGTTTTAAAGCACGCGTACTGTAGCGAGCTGTTTATTATCACTGAAAGCTCTAAAAGGTTTGCCATCACCGAGCCTATGTTACATACTTTTGTTAATGCCAGCCCTAGGGAACTAATAAACCCAGTGTAGGACAGCCACTTTTGATGATTACGAATAAAATACTATAAGTATCAGTGTGCAGGTTTGTCTGGACATAAATTTTTCATCAAAATAAATACCCAGGAGCATGACTTTTAGATTATATGTTAAAACACTGTCTAGCTTTGGTAGAAACTACTGAACTGTCTTCCAAAGTGGCTGTACCGTTTTGCATTTCCATTAGCATGAGAAAAAGAGAGAGCTGCTGTTGTTCCAAAGCATGCCAGCATCGGATACGGCCAGGTTTTTTTTTTGTTTTTCTGAATTTCAGCCATTTGAATCGATATGTAATGTCTCAGTTTAATTTACTGTTCCCTAATGACATATGATGTCAAGCATCCTTTCATTAGCTTATTTGCCACCTGTATATCTTTGTGGGTAAAGTGTCTGTTCCAAATTTTTCCTCATTTACAAATTCAATTGTTTGTCTTATTGCTAAATTTCAGGGTTGTTGTTTGTGTGTGTGTGTGTGTGTGTGTGCGGGCGTGTATTTCTCATAATAGCTCTCTATCAGATACATGCTTTGCAAAGATTTTCTTCCACTTTTCAGCTTGTCTTTCTTTGTCTTAATGGTGACTTTCCAGAACAGGAATTTTAAAATTTAACAAAGCCTAACTTACTAATTTTTCCTTCATGGATCATAATTTTGGTATTTAGAAACTCATTGCCAAACACAAGATTACCTAGAGTTTTTTCTTATGCTATCTTCTAGAAGTTATATAGTTTCATATTTTACACTTAGGTCGGTGATCCTTTTTAGGTTAATTTTTGTGAAAAGAGTAAGGTCTATATCTAAATTCACTGTTTGCGTGGAGATATCCAGATCTTAGACAGTACCTAGTTTCTCACTAAGTATGATGACAGTTGCAGGGTTTTTGTAGATATTCTTTACCAAATTTAGGAAGTTCTCTTTCTATTCCTAATTTACTAAGAACTTTTATAATAATTAATGTTGGGTTTGGTCAGATGCTTTTTCTGCATTTCTTGATATGATTGTATGATTTTTTTTCCCTTTAGCCTTCTGTGGTGGTGGACTACATTAATTTGGTTTTTAAAGTTTAGTTTTTAGAAAATTCTACTCGTATATATTTGTAGTATGTAATGACTATATTTATCACGGGGAGTTGGTACATGTATATAATACATCTTAAAATTCTTTTACATTCCCTTACCCCTGCTCTGTCCCCTAGTTTTTCAGTGTTTAAACCAGCTTTCCATACCTGGAATAAATACCACTTTGGCATGACTTATAATTCACTTCATGTGTTGAACTGCTAATAGTCTGCTGTGATTTTTTTTTTTTTTTTGCATGTAAGTTCATGAGAAAAATTAGCCTGTAGTTTTTCTTTACTATGATATCTTTGTCTGGTCTGGTATTGGGTTAATGCTGGCCTCCTAGTATGAGAAAGTATTCACTCGGCTTCTGTCTTCTGGAAGATTGTGATGAAGTGGTATCATTTGTTCCTTAAATGTTTGGTAGAATTGACTAATATAACTACCTTGGTCTGGCATTTTCTTTTTTGGAAGACCTTTAATTTTTTATTCAATTTCTTTAATAAATATAGCTCTACTCGGGTCATGTTTTTCTCCTTTTGGTATTTGTGTCTTTCAAAGAATTTATCCATTTTATCAACTGCATTAAACTGATGATCATAAAGTTACTCAATTTAATTGATTTTTATCAAAATAGAAATTTGTAGTCTCACCAGTTTTCTCTATTGTTTTCAGTTCCTTTGATTTCTGTTCAGATTTTTATTATCTTTTACTTTTTCTTGCTTTTATTTCTCTTTTCTGAATTTCCTATGGTAGAATCTCAGATCAACAGTTCTTTCTTCTCTTCTCTAAGAGCTATATTATCTGTTTCCCCCAAATTTTGATTTGGGAAATTTATTTATTTATTTGTTTGTTTGTTTGTTTGTTTTTGAGACAGGGTCTCACTATGTAGTTGAGACTGACCTGGAACTCACTATGTAGCCCAGGCTGGTCTTCAACTCACACTGATCCTCCTGTTTTAGCCTCCCGAGTGCTGGGATTAAAGGTGTGGGCCACCATGCCCAGCTGATTTGGGAAATTTAAATAAAAAATTTTAAGATGTCTCTTGAGATTTCTATGACCTATGAGTCACTTACAAGCAGAATCAGAATTCCAAGAATTTGGAGATTTTTCCAGCTCTCTCTCTTACTGATTTCTAGTTCAGTTCCATTTTGTTATAGTTCTTATGATTTCTAGCCTTTTAAATTTGTAAAAGTGT